GAAGACATTTCTTATTTATTTTACGAGCATTTGTCTCACAGTGAGCAGCCAAACTGCAGCAAAGCTGTGGAAATTTATTCTTCATTTGCTATAGAATAGGTACCGGGTATGCAAATTTGCAGGGTCCAGGCACAAGCAAGGAGCAAATTACATTGGTACAAAAGGCAGTAAGTACAATAAAAAAAAACCTTTAGTAATTGATAGTGATCACAAATATATGTTACCATGATTAATTATTTTCAGCTACATTACCAAAAACAGGCCAACAATTTTTTTTAACAAAGACAGCTTTATCAGTGAGTCAACAGCTGCAGTGGGCATAAGATTCCTTTCCATCAAATCACTAATCACTTCCCCAGTAATTAATTAGAACAGTAACTAGGAAATGTTGCAGTTGTGCTAAAACTAGATATATAAAAGTGGAATTGGCAAGTGATATACATCCTAATCCAGCTACAATTAATTGCAGCTATTAGATTACATTCTGAGGGAAAGTATAATTTGGCTAAGTGAGTCTTGTGTGTGTGTGTGTGGGGGGGGGGGGGGGCTTATTTCAAATAAACTGGTTATTTTTTAAATAGTTGGTCAAAATGAAATTGGTTCATCATCTCCTTTGGATTGATTTAAATCTGATATTTAGTTAAGCTATTAGACATTGTGAAAGGCAGATTAAAAAAGTGATTGTTCAGGAGTCTCACTAGGATAAGCAGCACCCACACTACTTGCTCCGTATGTCTTGATCTTCATATTGACATTTTAAAAAGGAAATTAAAATTCACAAATTGATAATTCAATCAATCAACTACAGTTTTCGCTTATCAGGCTATATTGGAATGGGTAGTCTGCTAATGTGTGCGACGAGACAGGGGAACAAAACTTGTCGAATAAGCAGTTAAATAGAAATCATATATGAATCTATTTACGATTATTTAAAGATTTAATAGGTTGATATGAAATTGCAATCTTGGAGTTAAGATCTTTACTAGTGTACTAGAGGAAAAGTCAAAACCAAGGAGTTAACCATGTGTTTCAAAACAATGTTGATCCATTTATTTAAGGTACACTACGATATTCAATTTTAAGCTAATCTGGTAAGGGATATCCAGGATATGTCCAGAAGTATCATTAAATGCCTTTTCAAGTATACCAGTTTTTTCCCAGCGCACATACCCATGGACAAAGAGTTGCAACATACTCAAGATTTTTTTCGCATAAATTTTATATATTGTGCTTGTTTATTTTATTGGGCACCTATGTCGATGTCTAATGGGGATTTAAGCCTTGAGACTTATTTTATCATTCTGTTCAAATATTACCAAATACATATAAACGCTTATACCTAAAGGAGATAAAACTACTCCCTTATAGACATTTTTTGAATACTCATAATACTTAGTATCGCGATTACCTCGAATTATCTACCTTACTGCCGCTGTTTTGCGATAAAGTCAAGAAAGTTATAAATCTCCTGTCATTTTCGGGGCATAACATATTGTTTACAATACTGCCGCCGTCACCATGGTTCATGGCACCCCCCTTGGTGGCGGTTGCAGTTCCATGATTACTCATGGTAGACACGAGTAGTCATGGCCCTTGCAAGTGGTGTATTCCGTCGCACCTCAACGCAACTGGAGGAGTGCAACACATATTCTTTCGCTCATTCACCTGTTTATCCTATTGCACATGTAAATTGAAATTCAGGATTTGAATTTGTGCATTGGCTTGGAATTGACACGCAGGTGACTTGATTGATATTGAATTGATTGATTGATGATTGATTGATTGAACTTGATTGATTGATGATTGATTGATTGAACTTGATTGATAATTGAATTGGTGACGTTCATGCACTTGTGAGCTACCCAGTGCATGATCCGCCCGGTTTGGGTCGTCACATTTGTTGTATTGATTGTTGGTTGTGGGGTAACTGCAATAATGTAGCCCTCTCCGATTTTTTTTTTTGGGGGGGGGGGGGAGGGCTACAACTCTTTAGGATCTCCGTAATGGTGCAAGTGCGGGAGTGATTCACTACCGCACAGATTTCGGCTCAAATTATCAGTAAGTGGGTATTTTATTAAAATATCTTACCTGAACTCATAAAATGTAGTCATGCAAGACATGAATTGATCCAAAAATATACAGAACAATCCGTATATCGGTTATTTTTCGTGTATGTCAACATCACAACTTGAATTTATCCGCCATGTTTACTGACCTTGATCGATTTTATTTTGGGACAACCAATGAGAATTCGGGATCTAGGGGAGCGGATCGTTTAGGATTTCCCTTATTTTAAGCATAAATGTCACTGTTTATGAAAAAAATATCCCATGGAATGCTTTTATTTATCGATGTTTAGTGATATCATACAACATAAACATTTATCAACACCTATATTTACTTTATCAAGTGATTCTAAATTTTAAGCGCAAGTCTCAGTACATCACGCGAGAACTGTCATGGCTGCTGAGGAGAACAACTGGTAAACACGCAGATTTATTTTACTTGGTTTTCGCGTATAAAGGGCTATGATGTTGACAGTGAATAAAAATTCCATCTTATTGGAAGTAAGTTGAATGCAAAAACAATTTATTTTGCCTGCAGTCGCCCGTATCTAAAAAATATATTTGCACCATTACGGAGATGCAGTGGAATTGTAGCTCTCTCCTGAAAATATCAGATTTAAAAAAAATCGGAGAGGGGTACATTATTGCAGCTAGTTGTGGGGCAGCCCTGTGGTAGCCCCAGCAAATTGATCACCGCGGCCAGAAGCGCCGAATTAAACAAGCAAAATAATATCGCTATTGTTTGCTTGATTTATAGGGAATTTGAGATAAATAGATTATTTGTTTGAATTCTCATAATAGGCCAGTGACGTGTCTTCAATAGTTTTTTTTTTTATAATTCATAAATAACAATATATCTGTTCAGCTCTGTTGCTATGGACATCATTTGGTTGCTATGCACAGAATATGATTGATGCAGAAATTTAAGTATGTTTTTATTATTCATAAGTGAAATAAAGCTTGTTTATCTAATTATTTATATGTAAATACTTTATTTTTTGACATAATGTTTTGAAAATGCCTTGATTGCTATGCAGTAAAATTGGTTGCTATGGGCACATTACAGGATTTTTACCTCATAATATCACTATATTTATTGATGATGCAAGATTATAATAGCAAATCTATGTGAAACAGTATCAATTTGGAAGAAATTGAAAGTTTTCCTATTTTTATAATTTTATATGCCATTTTTGAAGACAGCCTGTATTGTGTAAGAATTAGGGCTGGGCAATAATACCGATATCCCGGTATATTGCGGTATGTTGACAAAATATATCGTATTGCAATACGTTTTTGAAATACCGATAAACCGGCAAAATGCTTGGACTCAGGAATTCCATCATAAAATATAAGGAAAAGTTGTCAGAAAGGTTTGCAATCAAGCTGTTGCATGGGTGTATTTAGTCGTATAAGTGTTATTCAATCAACAAAATATATTTTTATTGGTTATTTTTCATAGTTACATGTAAGTACATTCTACATGTAAAAGGAAGTTAATATAATAAGAAAATTTCATTTAATTTTTTGTTGAAAATATTGCAATACATGTCGCATTACAGTTAAAAATCTCGCAGTATATCGCGGTATGAAATCTCTAGCCAATACCCAGCCTTAGTAAGAATCAAATTCATTTTAATGCTCATCTTGTATATTTTATATATATATAAGATTAAACTTGAGAGGTAATTTTCAAATTTTCAAAGTGTAAAATTGTACAATATTTGTGTTGCCATGGCAACAGATGCTAGCTATTTAGATTTGCTTTGAAACTTTTTTGTATACTACAAATCTTTAATAATTAGCATAAAGTCTGTTGTAGGTGATATCAGTATTCTTTTCATAAAAATATTCTTCCAAAAAAGTTAAAATTAAAGCTTGTTTTCTTAACATACGGTGGTTTCCATGGCAACACATAATAAGGGAAAAATAACAGTTTTGTTGGTCAAACATCATTTTCGTATATGTGTAGTTATGTTTCCATTTGAAGCTTGATGATTCGTGACATGACCTCTTAATTAGATAAAAATTTTGAAGTACATCTTTAATATTTTTATGTGTCACATGATTTTTTTTTTTATCATGAAAGGTTGCAATAAATTGCGAATCATAAACTTAAATTTTAATCTTCTCCTTTATTCACAAAATTATGATCACTTTAGAAAGAAATTTTGAAAGTGTACATTTAAAGAACAAAAGCAGTAGCATCTTCATAACATTCATTAAATATTTATAAAATTCTATTTGACGTTGTAAGTAAAGAAGCTGCATGCTCCAGCCTTAAATGTAATTGCGAGTATAATATTTTCCCCGAGTATATAAAAGTTAGTGTTATGATTAAAATTCCAATAAACAAAGCTTTTTGATTATTAAAGTTGTGTCACTTGAGTGTTTTGTAGTATTGTGCCTTTATCGTATTTTTTTTTAAACTTAGACAGTATCCGTAATAAGTCATCACATTGCAATGCCTGCATCAGACCATTTCACATCATAAAAGTGTGGACAATTAAACACATCACCGCTGGCTTTGCAGGTGCGATATTGTGTGTGGTGTGGGAATAATAAAACGGACAATTTTAATGTTCTAATATTTTAAAGATGAAATAAGATACTCCTGCTGAAATCACGCCTGGTCAGGAGTGTTGAATTTGATTATTAATTCATCAATTGTCTCTAGAGTATGAACGGTATTGACATAGCTTTCCGTCTGATTTTGTTTCTACTTAAAAGCCGAGGGGAGATGTCGGTCCCCCACGTACATAATTATCACGCTTTCCGATACAACTCTGCAAAACAAGTGCATACCGTCATCGCTACTTTCCAATGGGGAAAAGGCGGTAAAGTGACGTCACAATGTCCACGCCCCCTGTATTATTGACATTTCTTTTCTTAGGCGCTAGGCATAAATAGAGATACATAATTCTCTAATTGCAGTGATACGAGAGAAATAATTTGAAAAAGGAGACAAGCGACTGTCATCACATACGAGAGAGAGATCAGTGAAACAACGACAGAGGGATTCTAACACCTAAGGTTGGTTTACCTTCCACAACCGAAAATAGCTGGCTTTTTTGAAATAATAATTTAAGTATTTTTTTGAGAAAGGTTTAAGAAAAATACAAACAATTTGGTGAATTTATATTATAAATAAAAAAAACTATTAACCTTTTTTTTATCGAAAGTTAATTGATCAGTGACTTGTCTATTTTTTCCGTTGTAGCAAATTATTACATTAAGAACTGCATCTGAACATACTTAACTATACATGACTTGTTGCATAGTCCTTTAAAATCAAGCAATTGATTTTATTTTAAACGACAGAGAAGAATATAACTATTACCTTAAATAGCTGATTGAAACTACAGACTGATTGTCATAGCAGTCATACAAGGGTAAACACCGTAGGCTCATTTTATTTGAATAGTTCTTACCAGAGGCAAATGAGCGTTAATTTCTTTAATTACGCTCCTCTTTCGCACTTCTATCATTGAGAGCTAATTTGATCTGTGATAATGAAAATCGAAAGAGGTGAACATCGACCTACTTAACTTTATGAAACATCAAAATTATCGGCAATGTACAGAAAACATTTTTGAAATACAACATCGTGACTTTTTAGCTTAATTTGCACAGCAAAGCATCATCAGATAACGACTTTCCTACCCCACGTTGTCTAAATCGCTTATTGGACTTTATGGCTAACATTTGTGGCTTCCGATTCTACATAGTCCATGATCTTGTCACAGTCTGATTAAACAAAGGACGGCTAATGACGGAATAGACTGCTCTGTCTCTTTAGGATTATTCTTTCAGCCTCTCGAAATACTACCAGGACATATAGAAAAAGTCATAATAATATACCAGGTTATGATGGGGAAAACAACTTCAGAATGTGTCCTGACTCAGTTTTTAAATGAAGACTTTCATTCATTTAAATTCATACTTCATGCTTGGAATTTCTATAATATTTTTGCTTTTAGCTTAAGGAGGAGAAGGACCTTGAGCAGAAAAAATACTTGTCATTCAATTTTTTTCATATTTTGTATATTTCTAATTAAGTATGTCCCATATATCTTAAAGCAGTTATATCATTAGGTTTCTTACCTTATTTTGGAGATATTGATTGACAAATACTATGCCCTAAAGTATCTAAGTGGAGTTTTAATTCTCCATGTTTCCGGGCTCATTACTCTGTCCATAATGGGATTTTTTATGCATATATAAAAAATATCAAAGTGGACATGTATCTTTTAAAATATTTCAGAGTATAAATAGGATTTAAAATTCGAAAAAGGAAGTTTTGTCTATCACACTGCATCTGGATAGGGAAAATTACACACTTTTTAAGACAACTTAAACAATAAAAAACGTAATTTACAAAAAATTCTATCATTCAATATTTTTTAATTTACGTTGAAATGCAAATCTTTCAAATTATTGATTAACTGTAAAAATTTCGAATGGTGAAGCTGACCTCAATATTGCACAGGACATTGTTAAAGAGGACATAAGCATGACAAAAACGTGTCATGTTACATTTTTCGAGTACGGGAAAAACCAACTATGACGTCACATGTAAGCTAAATAAGTGAAATAAGATATACCTACATAAGATTTCCGTCATCAGCCATGCAAAAATAATTTTTGTGTTCCCCGTTTCTCAAAATATTTCATCATATACTAATTATGACCTGTTTTTACATAATAATACCGCCCCTGTGTTCACCGAGTATGATCTTGCTGTACTAACAGATCGTGTATGACGTCACCGACTTGTTGGACGCGCAGTTTAGGGGATTGATCAATCTTTTTCATAAATTGTTGATGTTTACAAGAATGTTAAAACTTTTTATTTTTTTTTAATATAAGATGGTAATAAAAGTTAAAAAAATTGTCAAAAAATTATACAAGAACTGATGCTTTACACATTTTGCACTTATACAAACGGAGACTATAACGTAGTTAAACAGAGTCATGTGACCATGTGTCCTTCATCCCTAGGGATGGGTATCGGCAAAAATTTCGTATCGTGATATATCACGATTTTTTTCCCAAAAATATCACGATAAATCGTGATATTTTTACACGCATTTTTTACTACAATTTCAAATGAATTTCCGTAATATTTCTTAAAAATATGCTATAAAAACATAACTTTACTTTTTAAATTTTCATTTATTTAATATAAAGCATGTTTTGATGCGTTGTTTAATTAACTGTTTTCAACATTTTTTACACTTCCTCTTATTGTCATTCAATAGTTTGAACAAATAAATGAATGATTTCCGGAATTTATAGTTATGTACCAAATACCGGTATTTTAGTCTCCGCATCACGATACATATCACACTATAAAAAATCCCGATATACCGGTATACCGATAAAATCGCGCATCCCTGTTCATCCCCTTACTGAAAGTATATTTTGTTTTACTGAACTATGTCTTTTATTACTTGTCTTTCCACTCTAGTTTAGTGTAGGTAGCCCCTCTCAAAAGAATGAGGTTTCGCTTAAATAAACCTCATTTTTAATGTTTTATTACTACGTAAGTCTTTGAAAAGGCGACCTATGCAATCTAAATCAAATCATATAGCCTGCCAGTTTATTGCACTTTTTCCACCAAAAAATTGAACTATTTCAAAATTAAAATGCAATTTCCGTTAAAAATGCAGAGAGCATCCCTAGATTAGAAGTGAGGCTTTTTTTTTACAATTAACGTGGAAAGTGCATGGACATCTATTTAAAAAAAAAAGAAAGAAAAGACCTATACCTAGCAATACATTCAGCATGTAGATAGATGTAGCATGCACGTTTTTAAAGAGAATAATATAAACTAATCTTTTCAGGAAAAGTCGTGAAGGAATATCAAGATCATGATTCTAAAATCACGGCTTAAAGTCGTGCAAGAATATAGTTAATTCTCAACGATGAATTTTCACAATAACTACTCTCTGATCAATTCCGATTAGATTACCGAAGGGCTCAGTGGTGTCATCGACATTGTCAAATCAGAGTCGCAAATTACACGTTACTTTGACCGATTTTGCAAAAAATTACTACAAAAAATTACATATATTCAACCTAGAACAAAAAAGGGAATGTTTTCTCGCTATTTTGCAATATTTTTCATACTTAAAAACCAAACTAAATGCTTTTAAATTTCTTAATTTATTTTTTATATTGGTATACAACGATTTAGTGTATTCATTTCGGACTCTCGAACACAGTGACACAGTCAGACAAGTGTTTCTCGTTTCCCCGAATTCAACAATATTAAGCGATTGCTAGCCAACTGTGTTTCTCGTTGACCGCGACAAATTGACACAGGAAGATATTTAGCTACAATACACGCAATCTAGTCGAACAATACTGTGAAAAATGAATAATTAATCATCAAAACAAATACCGTGACTGTAATGAATAGAAACAGTTCACTGATAATCAGAATTCACCCGATCATCAATCAGAATTACATGCATTACACTGTAATTATGAAGCAACTTTATGGGTCACTAAAAGGTCGGCTGTAATTGGTATATGTACCTTAAGGATAAATTCTTAGGAGCACCAAATAAAATTTTAAATAGGGCAGAGTATTTCTGTCACAGTGGTACAATAATATGGATTACGGGTTTCATAGTATTTCCCGTAAACTCCTAAGGGAAATATTATTCGGTGTGTAATTTTTTTTTTTTTAATAATCACGATTCCTGAATGCTAAACTATGCACAAGTTGAATTTCAATTTCAAAAATTAAAGCTTACACAATCATTGTGGATTGAGTGGGTAGTCCCAACTGTAATATTCTCAGATAGAAGCATATGTATCGCCCCAGGCAACTAGTATATTATTATTTTAAAATAAAAAGAAGAAGAAGAAAAAGAGAAAGAAAGAAGTACACGAAATCAGTTGCAGTTTGCGTAATCATAAAAATTTAGAAGGAATGTCAACATACATCATTCTGTACATGTAACTTTGAAACTTGTACCTTGGATAGTTCTCCTCTTGTTAAGGCATTTTTTTCTTTGCTTGATGGCAACATTAATACTATAAAGTAGACATGTATCGCATATTTATTTGTAAATTCTGCAAAAAATATATAAAATGTTATTTATGATATTTTTCATGGCTATTGCTTCTTTCAATTTTCACTGTGATTCCCAATGAAAAGAACCTTTTAATTCCTTCCACTGAAACTACCAGAATTCTCAATTGATATCTTCATTTGACATGAAACACTTTGTCACCTTATTGATTATTTAAGAGGAATCCCGAATGTCTCATTTTCTCAAACCAAAAGCAGATAGGTTTACGTACGAATCCGTCTTCCTTAATGCTACGTCTGAATGAGGAGTTCTCCCGAAAGACCAAACAGGAAAACTTACACACAGACGCATACGCATTTTCCTATATATTTTTTTCCCTTTTTTTTCTTTTTGTAAAAATTACCATGAATTTTTCATGCCGCTGCTACTGAGATTGTATTTTTGATATAAGGCAAAGAATGGTGTCTTTTAGGTGGACACACTTTACATTCATCTTTTTAAGGAGGAAAAAATCAAATAATTGCTTTACATGCTTCCAGTTAGGTCTATATTATCGCCCTTGCAAAAAAAGGGTTGTGTTTGACTTGATAACCACCGCTTACTGAAATGCTTTCAATGTTTTAGTGGAAATCAACTATATTTAGAAGCTTTAAAAGCATAACTTTTTACTGTTGAAAATGTTCATTAAAAAGCTGCACCCCCTTACACATACACACTCAGACATATACACACAGTTCGTTGCATTTCGATTTAAAATAAAACTTAAAATTTGGTTGTGAAAAAATTTGAAGTTTGCACAATTTTTTTTTTTTTTTTTTTTTTTAATTTTTTTTAAATTTTTATTTATTTATTTATTTTTTTTTTTTTTTTGCCTGTCAAGGTATTTTTGGGTATGTTTTTAAATTTTTTCTGGCAACCCACCTCCTTTCAAAAACGGTAGTACGTGCCCGGTATGCATATATACATATATTTCTAGAGAGCTAAATA